AACGGAATAGGCCTATCCCGTATTCCAGACCGACACTGGCAAAACACCATTTGAGTTTGACCATATGTCCGTATTTGGACACGATCCAGCTCGCTGATGTTCATCTTCTTTAGCAGGACAACTTCACAGTCTGAACCAAAGATTTCACTGGTGGTGGAGCCTTAGCTTCATATTCATTTTTTAAGATTGAACATATAAACTGATTATGCAGTGGGAGTGGCAGATTCTTCCTCCCAAAAATAAATAAATTAATAAAATTGGGATTTGGAGAATTGAAGTTGAAGCAGAAGAAAAGAGATCAATGTAAAGCAGGGGAATTGGAGGGAATGATGTGGGCTGGCCTTGGTTGACCAATTACTGAGAGATCACTCAGCTCTTTTATTTTGAATAATAAAAAAATAATATTTGGGGTTGGTTGACTTGGACTTGATTTAGCTATCTCCCTCTGCTGCTATTTTAGTTTTCTTTGTCTAAAAAACATCATAGGCTCATTGCAATTAGAATTTATGTTTGTGCAGTAGTAGTAATAACAATAAAAGTTTCTTTTTTTAAGGAACAATAAAAGGCTGTGTTGTAATCTGTTGTCTTTTACGTTGACAAAATTCTGACTTTGAGTTTTGACTCTTGAGAGAAACACAAGTGTTATGAGTGGTGTTCATTTCATCTACTGTTAAGTCAAATGGAGAGAAGATCACTGCTATTACTATATGTCATCGTTTATGGCAATTATATGAATATAAAATAAGGATTGTTGTTGATGATTGAGACAGCTTCCTTGATGTTTGATTCAAGACTATAATGCGGCGTGCAGAGATTTTGTTGAATCTGCCTCAAATTATTGGAATTAGTATAGGATTTGGACGGAACTTGTGAATCATTCATTGGTTCATGATTTCTGTTTTATATTTTTAGTTTTTAGTTTTGCAATTGTCTGTCCAATAAATCTCTGTTTGGTAAACGGGAATATGTAGTGGTACACGTACTAAAACTAAATTGTCTAAGCTTATGTTGTTGGATTAATCTTTAAATGTATAAAGAAATAAAAAATAAAAAAACACTCAACTCACTGTCACTTGTCCACAAGGGGACAACAACAGAATGAAATATGAGGGTATGAGCCCCCACTAAACCAAACCAAAATGGTTTCTTAATGCTAATTATTTAATTAAAAAGCCTCCTTCCCTCCCATACCCTATAGTGTCCTTGTCAGAATTTGCACCTAATCAAGGGACCATACCACTACCGTTACCATTCAGTCCATCTCTGCACTATATTAACACAGAAAATGAAATAGACTTAAGAATGTAACAATGAAGTCTTCCAGTCTCTTTTTTCTACTTGTCCTGTTTCTCCACCTTACTCTGAGTCTGAGCCATGATAAAATCAGAGTGGATCTCTGTTTTGAAAACCGGACCGGATCGGCCGGTTCAACAGGGAATCGTTGTTTAGTCCGGTTCAATCTAAATCGGTTGAACTGCTATTAGTGAACGGTCAGAACCGCTGAACCGTTCGAACCGACCGGCTGAAAACCTGAAAAAACCGTCGTCGTTTGTTAACGAGCCAAGTCGAACTCGAGTATTGCTGAGCTCGACTCGAACTTGAAAACTTTAAAAGTAAGCTCAACTCAACTCAAACTCACAAGCTAAAAAGTATCAAGTTCAACTCAAACTCGAAATATAATATTGAAACTTGAACTCAAAAAGGCTTGAACTCAAAAAAAATTAGAAGCTCGATTGAAGCCTAAAATTCGAGTTTGATTGAAGTAAAAGAATAATTATATAATTATAGTTATAATTTTTTATGATTTTTTTAACCCCAAATTTATTTTAATTATAATTATATAATTATATTTATTATTTAATATGTTTTACCTTAAATATTATTGTAGTTAATTTGAATTATTTGTTTCACTTGATTTTATGATTTTTAACTTATATATGTTATGACTTGCTTTGAATATGACTTGTGATATAAAAAATTGTTTTTTATTAAATATTTTTGGTATTTTTATTTAATTTTTTAAATAATTATGACGTCGTCCGGTTTTTCCGACCGGTCGGACCGGTTCGACCGGTTGAACCAGTAAATTGGTAGCATGACCGGTTCGCTAACCGGTCCGATTCTGAAAACTTGGATTACTATCGCAACTCCTGTCCTGATGTTGAATCAATCGTCAGATCTGCAGTAAAAGCCAAGTTGGAGCAGACATTTGTTACAGCTCCAGCAACTCTTAGACTGTTCTTTCATGATTGTTTCGTCCCGGTTTGCCTTTTCCTTAGCCACTATGTTTCTTGTTAGGCAGATTGAGACAGCAATTACGTACATATCTGTTTATATTTGTGCAGGGGTGTGATGCTTCGGTGATGCTAGCTTCATGGAACAATCGTGTAGAGAAGGATAATCCGGATGATCTTCGTTAGCTGGGGATGGATTTGACACTGATAAAAGCCAAGGCCGACGTTGATAGTGTGCCTAACTGCCGAAACAATGATGATATCTTAGCCCTGGCTACTAGGGATGTCATTGCTATTGTTAAAGCTGCTACTTTGCTCGATTGTTGTGCGTAATAATCAAATTTGTGCGCTTTTTGCAGACTGGAGGCCCATCTTATGCAGTAGAATTGGGAAGACTAGATGGAAAGATCTCAACAAGAGCCAGCGTACGCCATCATCTCCCTCATCCCGATTTCAAGTTAGACAAGCTCAAGGCCATGTTTGGCTTACATGGTCTCACTCTTACAGATCTGGTTGCGCTCTCGGGTACTACTCACAAAACCAAGTTGCTCCACCTTTCAATCACATCAATTAGCCAATATATAATACTGGTTTGGACTGATGATCACATTCTTCTAGGAGCACATACAATTGGGTTCTCACACTGCAGCCAATTCTCCAAACGAATTTACAAGTTTAAAAGCAAGAGCAGAATCGATCCTGCGCTTAATCCACCCTATGCAAGGCAGCTCCAACATATGTGCCCGGAGAAGGTTGACCTCTGAATGGCCATTCAGATGGAACCGGTCACCCCAAACATTTGATAATATGTACTACATCAATCTTCAACAAGGAAAGGGTCTTTTCACCTCTGATCAGATTTTGTTCACTGATGCAAGGTCAAGAAATATTGTTAACCTATTTGCATCCAACAATACTGCATTTGAAGAGGCTTTTGTAGTTGCCATAACAAAGCTAGGGCGGATAGGGGTCAAGACGGGAAAACATGGTGAAATCAGGAATGATTGCTCTGTTGTAAACAAGATTTTCTAAATGGTTTGCATCATTTTTCAATGTTGAAGCGTTTTGTTGTTAAGAAAGATTATGGAGGAGATCCTAATCTAATCATTCATTCATGTTCTTGTCTTGCATAGTACTAATATACACCTTACTTTTCATGTATAACAGATAAATGAAATTTGCGTATGAAATAAACGTTGTAAGGGAACAGGAGTTATAAACTATACAACCAGGAAGGCATTTGAAAGATTACAAAAAAAAATTAATGGAATGATAGTCAGTCAGAGATAGGGTCATCAGGAGGCTTATATCGTTGAGGGTAAGTCCCGAAAGCTCCAATCTCAACTTTGCCAGCAGAAACAGTCCTGGTTGGATCAATTACAACTGCCAGGACTGCTGATTGAGCATTGGGGTTGAAACATCAGTACCAGACAGCCAGCATCCATACCTAGGTTGAGAGAACGGTACCATCCAACTACATTCTCCAACCTGTGAAACAAACAACAATACCTCTTATGAGAAATGATTTTTCATTGACAATGTTATTATGGTTTCAACTTCCAATGGCGTTAGACACCCTTAACATGAGACAAAATAACAATAACAGCTACTACTGAAACAAATCCATATAACACGAATACACGTTTGAAGGCACATTGAGGTGAAACACGATTTTCCTTTTGGACTGCAAAATAAGGATTATCTCTTAATGGTGAAACTATTCTCATAAAACAACCACTTACTCGGTTTTCGTCCATAATTATTAACTCCACTTGTCTGGGAGAGTTTTACATAGTTATCAGTAGTAAGTGAACTACAGAGACTGGCCTAATTTAGGGTATCAAGAACACTAGTTGTACAGCAAAACCATATTCAAAACATGAAAAATCCATGGGGGGATGGGATTGAAACAAGAGAAGACCAGAAAACCAGTTTATTGGTCTGCGAATAATCTACCATATACTCAGAGGCATCAGCATGAGTGTTAACCCGAGTTTCGAAGGCCTTCAACTGGCGGAAAGGCGTCTATTACAATGATGGAGTCGGCATCAGTCTTGCCTTGCATCAGCCCGTCTTATCTAAAGGGCATGGACAATCATCTTGAGGAGAGCAAGGGAAGAGATCTTAATGCGCTTGAAGTAGTGGTGATCATTGCCCCGAAGCTTCTCCTACTTGAGCTTGGCTTGAGTGTTGTCGTAGTCGAATAAAGGGTCTGATGTTTCCACTGTCAAGATATTGTTCTCAAACTCCCAAGTTGCCCAATGGCCAGTGCTAAGGTCATTTTATAGCAGGCATAGGAGTGGAGAGTGATCAAATTCGAAAAGTCACCTAGTCCTAGCCCGGATGTCAAGACCATTACTGCCGGTTGCACTAAACTGTTCAACTGTTCTTACGATTGACCTTTCATTCTACTTGTAAAATATTTCTGTTGGTGTCATTTAATGTGAGTGTTCATTAATGGCCGAAATCAATACAAGAGTAGAAAACATGTTATAAACGGATCTTTTACACCAATATCTAATCATATATGATAAAACAGGTTTGTCCGAGACAAGAAAAGAAAAAGGTCAATAACGAGTGGTACTCCTAGAGATTCACGATTTGGTTTACAATGACTGAAAATAAAAAAATAATTCCTGAAGTTGAACTGAACACCACTGACTAACTGACATACCTAAATAATCTCCATCTTGACAACAGGGGGTAGTTACAAACAAGGGGGTTACCACCGCACTGAGTGTATAGTTGTACAAAAATAATATGGTCATCCCATATTATTATCCTTCTAGTTTAAACGTCATTTTACACTAAGCTACAGGCATAACATTAGTACAGCATATATTTCATCTGACCCGTCCCCTTGTTCTCCTCGTGTTTCGGCTCACTTTCTTTCCCTGCTGCTTCTCCATGCCAGCGTTGCTATTGCCTGCCATGCTGCGTTTTGACTTTGGTGTATTCAACTGCTCCAGCGAACCTTCATCTTCACCTTCACCTTCACGTTGCATGCTTGAATTGTTCTGGGAATTGGATACTGCAACCAAAACTTCTAGGGAAGCCTCACTCAACGGCTTAGTCTTGTCCTTCACATCCGCGCTTCCTGCATTCTCATCCCTGGAACCAACTGTATCATCTTCTTCATTTATTGGTCCTTTTTTTGGTTCTTTATCCGCTTCAGCTGACATACTGAAATGATGAAGAACTTAACAATTTTTTTTAAAAGAAAAATCATCAAACAATGTCAGAACTACACTATTTAGGCTAGGAGTATCACCTGAATCCTGAAGGCAATCCATTGGCAGTAGATGCAGCAGCAGCAGCACAGCCTGTTTTGGCAACTTCTTTTAATGTCACACGGTTGTCTTCCATTTGTGAGTCTACAGATTATGTTTAGGGATAAAAAAACTCGTGTAATCAAGAATTAAACAATCCACCTGTCCTAATTGTGCACATGAACACTCGAACAAAAAAGGAATCTTTACAGCAGAGACTTTAAGTTATTTAATCTTCCAAATTGTTAACACTCGGTTTCAATCATAGGTACCAATACAATTTATAGCTGTGTTCATGAGGCAATACTTCGAGGCCTTAAGGTGGATAGCGACAGACCTTGGTATGAAAGTAGGAAAACATTAACAGTGAATACGTTGTTTCTTACTCTGTACAGTTCCTTCGGTAGTAGAACCAAACTGCAGGATAGACCCATTGGTTTCCTTAAAATGATCGACATCAGCAGCGACATCACTGTGGCATAAAAGGTGAAAAGTTAGAATAAGAAAAGCATTGACCTCGTCATAAAGAGACAAATGAGGAACTTCACAATTAACAATAAAACCTCTTTAACATCACTGCTGACAATTATTTTCTTTCGCTTGTTTTTTTGTGCAAGGGGGATTCTTTAATGGGAATGATACCAACCTATTTGAAGCAGTTTTGATATCTACCGTTGATTGAAGTTTCTGTCCTTCATCTAGTGTCTCACCTGAGCCATCCCAGAAAACTCACTTAGAAAACTTCTGACAGAGGTAAAAGATTTAGCAGATGATACAGACTACCAAAAAGAGAAAAGAACGGAAGAGAGTGTCTTCTCCACAATGAAGACCTCGATCCAGAATTCATTAGACTAAGAGAAACTTTAGAAAATAAAAGTACTTTCTTTTGAGATTGAGACAAACCTTAGTTACCAAAAAATAACCTAGTCAGGACACTACAAAGACGGAAACACCATGTAATCAAATCACCATTCGTAACTTTTTCATGGGAAAAAAATTAGGCAAGGTAGGCTACATGTATCGAGTATATTAATTAGAGACATAACTGCCATTCCTCAAATTAATAAATAATATTTATAATGCAGTACATATATAGGCACTACATTTGTTCAAGGGAAATTTGACAACAAAAGATAAAAAGGATGCACGAATACCTCTTTTTCTCTCAGTACTTTGAACAGCTTCCATACCCTTTGCAAAAAGAGAGAGAGAGCCAAATATAAGTGCTTGACAAATAAAGTGAAATATCAACATATCATAATCTACCCTAAGAACAATTAAAAAAATTCAACCAGCACTATGTAAAGCTTCCTGTTCAACCATTAATATACCTGATAATCTTCACAACCAAGAGTTGCTGGGATTGATAAAGCATCACTGTTTAATGCATCTTCTGGAATCTGTGAAGCTGAAATGAGAAAAAGATGCAATGTCTTAGAATATCACTGCCTAGAAACTAAACAGACTTGCCAAAATTTTCAAGTACAAAAGACTATCAGAAAAAAATGTCTGAAATTATTCAAGCTTCCGTCCCACAAGTTATACTGCACCTGGTATAGTAGCCAAAACTTCAGATGCCTCCACTGATTTTTTAGAGCTATCTGGGTTATTTCCTCAGCAGGGCCCAAGTTTTTTGCAGCTAAAGAATCAGGAGCACTTTTCTGTTCTAACGCAAACGAAGACCAGTCAATTTTTGGGGATGATAGAGTCCTCAGCATTTCTTCAGTTGCCTTAGATCTCACTTTTCGTATTTCCTCTTGGATGTTCCATGAATCAGTGGCAGGAGAATCCCTTTTCAACTGCATCCATATAAAATGTATAAGAAGCAAATTAAATCATAACCAAAGGAAGAACATACTGCAGAGACAATCACACTTACACCCCCATGCACATTAGTCATATAGAAGAGTATGAGCAAGCATACGTTTGACCTAATAAACGAAGCATCAGGTCAAAGAAAACTGTGATGTTATTTCTATCTGGTATGATTGCAACAGTGCAGTTAAAACCATGCACGTGCCACCTGTACCTCAGCACTAGGGTCAAAGGGAGTAAATGCACCTCAGACTCTTTCAGGTTAGGCTCATTTATATTTCTGGTACAACTAGGCATGCTTTTTTGCAAGGATAGGCAACTGGTGCAACAAGTGCGATAGGCATAAATATGTCTTTCCTAGTAAGAAAGGGATATCAAACTCTATACTTCTCAATATTTGATAGTATTCAAAGCAGACATTGATGGTAAAGAAATTATCCATATAAACCAATAAAGCAATTGCATGTTTTGTAAACAAACTTTATATATATTTCAATATATATATGTATATATAAATATATACACACAAAAAAGTGCACTTTACTTCATGCAGGCTAGCACTTTTTCTGAGCCTTGCGCCTGAGGTCACACAACTAGACAGCACCTTGTGCCCTTGACAACCCTTAATTGCAATATATTTTTTAAATAAAAAAGAGCTAACCATGGGCTCAACCAGGAAAGCAATTCAACAATAATATCATAAGAAATTTAAAGATCTGCAATCTTAATGACTATAACACCCACATATGGATCATTACATCCAATCAACAAAGGAATAAGCATATAAGAGGACCTTGGATGAGGACAAGTACTTGCCCCCAATTGAATATGGTGTTTCTTCCTTGAAAAGTGGCACTCCAAATGGTCGTTGTGATCTAAATTCAATATCGTTCAGGGCTGGTGATGCCCATGGAGGATGAGTTCTCATGTATGTTTTGGCCATGTCCAAAGGTGATCCTGCTTCACCTTCAATGCTCTGCAGCAACAAAAGCTTACAAACTTAGAGATTGACAAAATTTTCACACTAACAGAATATTTAGATATCAGCATGCCATTCATCATAAGTTCCTTTGAATAATGGAGGTGTTTACAACAGTAATCCTCCAAAATCATGCACAAGAGAAATGACACCACTTTCACCCTGCCTTAACATGCAAGTAAACTTTGAAACCAAATTACTGCACAATGGAACCATTATAAGCAAACTGGCATCTACAAGAATCAAATCATCAATCATAAGTGGGAGGACAATGGGTAGCTTCTATTCATTTACCGCTCACATTCAACTTGTCTTTAAGGTATATGTCAGATTCTTTCTGCATAAAATCTTCCATATAAGTAAAAAAAAAAAAAAAAGAAGCATGATCTCTCTCTCTCTCTCTCTCTCTCTATATATATATATATATATATGTTGATATTTGATAAGACGTACAGCATGGTTTCAATCTTCATAAAAAATGACAACATAGAAACAAAGGGACAACTAGATAAGGGAAATAAAAAAAAAAGAATTTAATATAAGCTGTAACATAAGCTGTACAAGACATGGAGGAAATATATGAAAAAAAATATCAGCTTAAAAGTTAAATGAAGACAGCATAAAGGAAGCTCAGGAAAGCAGAAAGGAGATGGCACAGAACCAAAGGAAGAAGGGAAGAAGTAAAACATTCAGCATAAGTTATATGAGGCAAAGGATCAATCACAAAGACTATGTCAAAACTAGAATCATTGACGAAACAGGAAGTATCATAGCGATTATCTAGCCTTTTCATCTACCCCTTTCCCAATATAAAGTTCTTAGTTAAAGAATTCCACATACACTTGCTCCTTCTAAGAAAATAATTCACAGAGAGAGTAAAAAACAACCCACAAGCATCATAGAGAAAGGAGTTACAAACATGTGCCAATGTCAAAAACTTCTGCGCAGAGGTGCCGTGGTGCAATTCTGACTTAGAATTTGATCCTGACTTCTTCTCCTCTAACCATTTTTTTGCCTCTATAACAGCTGTGCCACAAAGATCATGATTGTTGACATCTGGAAATAAGAAACAGTCAGTCTGCTATAGGTGTTGAGAAGTTCATTCTTAAAATCTGTACTCCCAATTTGTGAAAGCCAAATAACTTCCACCTGCTCTGTCAGCCATTTCATTTAGCCTTTCAAGCCACATACCTCTGGTCACTGGAGAATCCACAACTCTTGATTTAATAATATTTGTTAGTTTATCACACTCTTCCCTGGTCAAAATAGCATCCATTCAGAAGTTCAAAACTAGAAGTTCATGCTTAACTAGAGATATAATGAGGGATAATGGCTGAAACACACATCCAATTAAAAATGCCATGGAAAGTTTGCCAAAGAACCAAATGCTGTAAATGACATACTACAGATGTATTACTGTGTGTTGACCAAATATTTTATAAACAGGACAACTAAAGGAGGGAGAAAGAAAAGGATTAAAGCAGGAAAAAAAATCCAAATAAGAAAATAAGTTTTTTTACTTGCCTTGAGAATGACTCCTGCATGAGAAGTTGCTCTATAAGACGCTTGGTTTCAATCTTTCCTGCAAAAGGTTGGGGCTCACCCTGGTGGCCCACAAAGGAACAACTAAGGAATCCTCTAAGATTATTATAATCATCACTAATATAAAGACATGGAAAATAAACAAAGACAGGAAGATGAATATATCAAATCAGCTCCAAATTTACCAGTAACACCAAAAAGTTATTTTAAATGTTTTGGTTTTTTCTTTTGCAGAATTACAAAAAACATAGGTGGAAAACTTACATGTTCTATGTTATTAAGCCCTTGACTCGAGACATCCTGACCATCATTTGTACCACCAGTGTCATCTGTACCAAAATTAAAATAAAAATCTATCAATAAATACGGATGCAATATGTGGACTACTGCCTGAGCAAGTAGCCTTTCAGAAGCATAACACTGAAACAACACGGATTTTTTATATCTGTACCGAAAAGAAATATGCTTTAATTATCCACTAAAAGGTTAGGGCCCAGTAAAGAAGCATGAGAAATAATGGAAGCCTCAAGAATCGAGATGATAATATGTAACCTCACTAAAAACAAGTAGCTTAAAACAGTTGAACCACAAAGCAAGTACTATGCCAAAGGGAAGCACAATATTAACATTGCTAGTAATAAAGCACTGCCTGCAGGCTGTAGCTGTAATCAACATTCTAGGCTCCTTATTTTGGTATGGAATTAAAAGCTAACAACAAAGATGCATGCTTTGATTGTAGAAATCCGTCAATCGAAAACGTTGAGTTTAAGCTATTACTATCAAAACAAATATCATTTAACGAAAAAGAGGGAGGAAATGAAAGGGGAGAGACGGATTTCGAAAAATACATATTTTTAAGTGAGCAAAAAAAAAGTTGCATGTGGAACCTGAAGTTGAATCACGGTCTGAAGACGAAGAGGAGGAGGAGGATTCGAGGCCAAAAACAGAGGAAAGTACTCTGGTGGCACCGGAGACAACAGCGCGAGTAGGGGAAAATAAATGCTTGGAGATCCAATTAGGGTTTTGCTGAGTTGAATTGAACAATCTGGGTCGGTCGTAAGGCGTCGTGCGTGACATGGTTCGCCGAGGACGCAGCATCTTTCCACCGGATCTGGGTGGTCGGCGTTGGTCAGCTCCTGAAACCGAGGCCATTTGGGAAGGTGGTAAAGGGAGGAAGTGGGTTAGTCGCTGGTTACAATTGCAAAGAGGTTGAAAACCAGTTTAAGGGTGTGTCAATATTCTGTCTTTTTCCCAACCATAAAACAAAGAGCAGTAGAGGCAGCGGATTTATATACGGAGGATGATATATTTTATCAAAAATTTAGACTATCGTACTTAGTCTTCAATCTATTCTCAACTTATTTTATTTTCCTCATCTAACTATTTTTTTTTTCAAAACAATAAATAATAATATATCTAATAAACAATATTATTGACCACTTAACCATTTTCATTTTAACCATTATTTTTTTTATTTTTTTATTTTAATCACTATTTTTTAATTCTTGTTAATCAGATTATTTAATTATTTAAATATATCAATCAGGTCACTAACCATTAACAGTTAACCAAAGTATTGACGTGACAGTTAAAAAAATTGATATAATTTACATTGAGTCCTTATTACTTACACAATCTATCAAATTGGTCATAATTTTAAATTAAGTCAATATATTTAATCCTCTAATTATATGATGACACATGTCATAATCTGATGGAAACAAAATAAATTGAAACAATATTATGCTTGAAGGGGGTGGGAGAATTAAACATAGGACTTCTTGGATGAAAATCAAGGGCCTTAACCGCAGCTCCAAGACTGATTTTTGATATAATGCTTACATAAACTAATATCTATCTTATAATATAATGAAGGTCAAACAAAGAAAATTGAAGCAACACTAAAACGACTTGATTCGAATAAATTAATATTTTAAAATATATTGTTTATATTAAACCCGACCCACACAGAAAATATATTGTTTATATTCGACTCGTCCTGACTTGATTCGAATAAATTAATATTTTAAAATAGTTAAAAAATATACTTATATTCGATTTATAATTATTTTATAAGTATAAAATTAATATTCGACTTATAGTTAAAAGAATATTCGACCCACCCAGAAAATACATTGTTTATATTCGACTTATAGTTATTTTATAAGTATATTTTTTAACTATTTTAAAATATTAATTTATTCGAACCAAGTTGTTTTAGTGTTGCTTAAATTTCATTATTCGGCTTTTAGTATATTATAAGATAAATATTAGTTGATGTAAGTATTATACCAAAAATCAGTTTGGGATAATGGTTAAGGCCCTTGATTTTAATCAAAGAAGTCCAGGTTTTGATTCTCCCTTCTCCTCTAAGCACAATGTTGTTTCAATTTATTTTCCTTCCATCATATGGTGCCACTTGCCACTATCTAATTGGAGAAAAAATATTTAAATTAAAATATAAATTAAATTAATAAAATTATCCAATAATATTGATAAAAATTCTCCAATGATATTGTGACACGATTCATCATATAATTAGAGGATTAAATATATTGAATTAATTTAAAATTATACCAATTTTATTAATTGTCACGTCAGTACTTCCGTTAACTGTTAACGGTTAGTGACCTAATTGAATGCATTTAAATAGTTGGGTGGTTTGATTGACAAGAATACAAAAATGGTGGTCAAAATAAAAATGGGCTATAGTTAAGTGGTCAATGGTATTTTAGTCGCTTTGCAGTTAATAGTGATGTTAATGTATCACCATTAAAAAATTAAAAAAAATTGTCATGCCAGAAGTTATTTTTTTTAACGAGTGATGAACTCATCAAGTGGTTAAAAAAAGTTATGTACATTGTCAATGGTTAAAAAAGATTATGAACATATATTATCTTATAATCACCTCATATAATTAAAAAATAGTGAATGATCAAAACCAAACAAAAACTTAATGTTGTTTATAATTTAAAAAAATAGTTAAGTGATCAAAACACAACTACTAGAATAGGTGGGTGATGAACTACATAATTTACCCTTATCAAAATTCATATATGTTTTAAATTATTAATTTTTAAAAATTATAACATATTTATTAAATTTAATAATTATTTTATAAAACTTTTAAAATTTAATAATGAATAACATTTAATATACTTTATCCTTTCTTCCTCTCCTTCAAATTATATGAAAAATATAGTTCTTTTAATTAAATTAATGTGATTACAAAATAGTATCTATTTTAAATATTTTCAATTATTTAACAATGAATGTCCAATCACTCTTACAATCGTTATTGTTCTAATTTGTAACTTCTAAGAACAACAATGATTTTTTAACCACTAAGATAATTCGATTCTTGCAAAAAAATGAAATTTTAAATAGGTTTAATTTCACTACATATCCTCAAATTATAATTTAAGTTCAAATTAACTTTTAAATTATATTCTTAAAATATTATTATCATGTCAATTGAGTTTTACCATCAACCTAATCATTAGCTTAAATATTAAATAATTAAATGTAACATCCCAAACTACGGGTTAGTGACCAAATTGTAAAATTTCAGAATTTGATGATAAAAGTAGAATACTTGAATAGTTCAATGATTTATTTGAGGATATTTCCTGAAAGTTTTAGTAATTATCCAATGAATTAAAGGGCAAAATGGTCAATTGACATTAAAGATATTTTTATCCCCTTTAATAGGAGATAAAAACGTGGGAGATGAATGCATTTTATCTTCTTCTTCATTTCTTCTTCTTCTCCAACCATGGAAGACTAAGCAAAGGTGAGTTTTCTCTTGAGCTGATTATGTGCTGAAATTTAAGTTTAGTTTTGATTATTAGATGCTAAGTAAGATTAAGGAAAGATTTATTTGCTTTAAAACAACAAAATGAAGAGTTTATGAGGATTTAAAGATTGGAAGTTTTTGAATGAAATATCGAAATAAAGTTTATATTGAGAATTAGAAGTTGAATTTGACTTGTCATCAAGTCAATTAAGGGATAGGAAGTGTTAGAATAGGAATTTGAACATGTTGCAAAACTAGTATAATTTTTGCAATTGCATAGGAATGACTAGATTTGAAGTTAAAGAAGTGATTAGTGAATAGAAATAAGTTTAAGTATGTGTATTAAAGTTAGGAGTATTAAAAGAAGTGAATAGGATGGTTTAAGCTAAAATAAGGTGATTTTCGAGCTCAAAATGGGATTTCTGGGCTAGGGGAATCGGTACCCATTCAAGGGGAATCGATTCCCCCTCAAACGAATATGAATTCCAGAATGCTAGAGGAGAATCGATACCCCCAGGGGGGGAACCGAATCCCCCATAATGAAAAAAAAAAAAGAAAGAAGAGAGACTAAACTATTAATCCCTTAAATTGGTAGGGTATTAGAGGTTAATTTCAAGACTTGGGCATCTGATAATCATCTTGAAAATTATGTTTATGTAGATATTAAACGTGACTTTGCTTCAAAGTAATCAACGGGTTAGAATTGATTCAATTCAAACAAGGCTAAGGTGAGTGCATATTAGTATTATATGATGTTAAATGGAAATAAGACTTGCGACAATTCTATTTCCATAGTAAAATGCATGAATTCATAAATAGAAGTATTTATGTGTATGATTTATATGTTGACATGTTATTGTATATATGTATTATATGGTTGATGTGAATATGTGATTATGAATAGGTGGAAAGGAAACAAATGATGATATAAGAATCTATTATAAAATATGATATGAAAACATGATAGTGAGCTATGTGAAAGCACTATGAGATATATGAGTTATGGAAAATATATACGAACAAGATATGACATCTATGTTTATGGAACAATGCAAGGTGATATAAGCTATGTGAGATATGAATATAAAATCATATGAGAAGTGAAAAGGATTACATGAAAATAAACTAAGTGATTACATGTATATGTGAAAGAAGCTATGAGCTTATATGAATATGTGATATGAATGAAGCTATGATATGATCTATGCGATTACATGCACATATGATATATGTTATATGAAATGACATATGAATAGACAATACGTGATACATGTGGTATGTGACAAAAGAGAAATGACAAGTAATGTGAACTGTTAAATGATAATGCCCATGTTATGTGATATGAGAGCTAGGGTATAGTTGGCATGCCAAGAGTCGAGGTTTACCTATGTTCTACGGAACATATGGACAGTTTTACCTATGTCTTTCGAGACATATGGACAGTATACCTATGTTCTAAGGAACATATGGACAGTTTACCGAGGATCTTTATGACCTCTGGACAGTTACCGAGGATCTTTATGACCTCTGGATAGTTACCGGGGTCTGTGTGACCTCTGGATAGGTCCTTCGGGACATTTATATGAGCTGTGGTGACAGCATAGTGGTGCACAACCTCAATAGACTCACATATCTACAGTTCTCACAGGTGCACATGGGCTAATAAGAGATAACATGGAATGTAATGTATAAGATATGTGATGTATATACTTAGGGTGATATGTCATGTGTTGCTTGAATTATAAGGATGTTGATAAAGATAATAATATACACGGGCAATGCAATTGGAAGACAAACGAAAAGTGAAAGTAATACAAGAAGATATGTTGCGTGTGTGTATGACATGATTATATATATTGTTATCATGCAATAGATACATGCATATTGAGATGTCATGATTCAATGGTATGAATGCACGTTCATGAATTTATTGTTATATGTTTAATTATTGCCTCACTAAGTCAACGACTTAGCGTGTGATTGTTTCACACGTAGGTTTCGAGAAGAATAAAGAGTAATGCGGAGCAAGACAGGTCAGTTCTCCTTACCAAATGTCAGATCAGAAAATGTATGTACTGTTTACAGAGTGTAGTTGGCATGTAGTCTAAAGATATAAATGGTATGAACTCTGATATCTATTGTAAACGTTTTGAAGTAATTTAAATGTTATCAAAGTTTTAAATTACTCACTATTTTATACGAATAAATGTTTGAACAGTCAATGTGACACTTCGGACTCGTATCCGGGTCGGATACGGGTTGGGGGTGTTACATTTAATGGTATCAGAGCTATGGTTTACCCGATTCTCGGCATAAACCGAAGTCAAAAGTGCTTTAAAAAGTATACATGCCAACATAAAGTGAAAAAAAAAATTCTGATATGATAGTGTAAGGAGTATACTGTCTTGTAAATAGAGTTAAATTGTTATGTTATATAAGATAAGTGAATACATGATGATGATT